AACTAACTAACTAACTAACTAACTAACTAACTAACTAACTAACTAATTATTTTTGAGACAGGGTCTCACTATTTAGCACTGGCTGTCCTAGAACTCACTATGCAGACCAGAGTGGCCTTGAACTCACAGAGGTCCACCCATTTCTGCCTCCCGAGTGCTGGGATTAAAGGCATGCACTATCATGCCTGGCTGACATTTCTTTTTAAATTAAAAAAAATATTTTTAAAAATGTGTATAGTGTTTTGGTTGCATGTATGTGCCTGGTTCCCTCAGAGGCCAGAGGAGGTATTGGATTCCCCCGGTAGTAGAGTTACAGATGGTTATAAACTGTCACGTGAGTCCTGGAATGAAACCTTGGTCCTTTGCAAAGCAATCAATGCTCTTAATTGGTTAGCCATTTCTCTAGTCCCTTCAAGCAACATTTCTTAAACAGGGACCAAGGATGTACTTGGAGATTTGTATGCATTTTGGGAATTAAGAAGTAATTAATTATTATTATCACATATGCATGCACAATGTCTGTGGTGTTCGGGAATACATGTGTGGAGGTCAAAGGAGTTGGTTCTCCCACTTTTATGTGGGCTCTGGGACTCTAAGTCAGGCCACTGGCTTGGTCTACATGCAGCCTGTACCTGCTGAGCAAATTCTAAACTTATTAACAATTCAAACAATTACTATAAACCCACTTAAATTTGTTGAATGATTGCTGTATTACCAAATATTATTGCTCAGAAGTCAAGACACTTGGAGGCCCATATTCATATTTGCTTTTACAGGAAGGTGAAGCCAAGCCCTGCTTTGACCTTCGTTGCCTGAGTGATCCACTATATAAATGATGCATCCTAGGCAGAGGAGGCCAGATGGCGTCATTAGCAGCTGTGGGGGGGGGCGGTGTTTCTTTTCTGTTTGTTTTCCTATTCTGTCTTATGATATCCCTATAATCAGTGAACTGGGGAAGAAAATTTTAATACCAAGGCACACAATGTAATAATCTGCTTCCTCCTCCCTGGCCAGTCACTGCCTACCACTGGGGCCCCTGACTCCTGCAACACACATGATGTGAGGTGACACTGTTCTGTCTGCCTGGAAGGGACAAGTCAGGGACTCAGGGAAAAGTGAGACAGTCCTGCATAGCCTGCAGTCTACATGTTTCATGAAGCTATTTGGGGCCCCCAGAAAGCACGACAATTCTCTGGGTAAAAACAGGAAAAAATTCTGAGGATCCAGCCAAATGTACAGACACATAGCTGTAATCCCAGAGTTTTGGAGGTAGAGGTTAGAGGGTCAAGAGTTCAAGACTAGACTCAGCTACATAATGAGTTCGAGGCCAGCCTTGTCTACAGAGCAAGTGCCGGGATAGGCTCCAAAGCTATACAGAGAAACCCTGTCTCAAAAAACAAAAACAAAAAAACAAAAAACAAAAACAAAAAATTAAAAAAGAGGGACTCCCTGAGGCAAGAAGATAACCAAATTGAAGGCCAGACAGTGCAGATAAACAGGAACCTGTCAGGAAAAAGACTCCAAGGAGAAGGCCACACAGGAAAGTCTTTCTGGACTCAGTTTACCACACATACAATGAAAAGCATGCTGTAACCTATGGCTTGAGGACTCCTCAAAACCCTGAGTTGTTTTGTTTTTTGTTTTAGTGTCTGTCACTTCCTTCTGCCTTAGGCCACATTACCCAGGTTTTGTGTGGGGATCATAGCAGCAGCCTCCTGAGGTGACACACACTCATTAAGGTCACCGTTGAAAGGGGTGACCACGCTGTCTCCTCTTCTTTGTTGTATTTTTTCTAGCAGCTTGTCCAGGTCATCGCCTATGACAAAATACAGTGGACTTAAGGTTATAATAAGCAACGTGCCTGAGTGGTTCTTATCAGTATCAGATGAGACAGGTGGGCTGGGTTCTCATTCAGGTTTGTTAGCTGGCCTGCAATTAAGTCAGAATTCCTACCTGGCCATCTCTCTGGCCATCTGTCCAACGTGTCTCTATAGTAAGAGCTTTTCTGCATGGCATCCACTCTGTGGGTTCATGCTTACAAACAGCATACTCTCAACATACTTTCTTTTGTCTTGAATCATGTACAAAAACGGGCAGAATGGGCCGTCTTTGTTTCTATCTGACATATGAAAAATCTCAGAACCAGGGAGAGACAGAGAAAACAGCCCGAGGCCATGCAGCAGTCACAGCTGAGCTGAAGCTCTACTCCTTGTATCCCTGTGCCTTCCTCTGGACCTCACATGGCTTCCTGTGGTCTTAGTCACATGAGTAAGGATAAACACCACTCCAAATGAGAGCTCTGCCAGCAAGCTTAAGCCCCACCTTCATCCCTGACAGGCTAAGATTTAAATTCAGACAACCACGCAACTAGGACTGGCAGGGTGGCCCAATCTTAAAACCACTTACCTAATGAGGTGGTTTTGAAATGCGATGCCAGGAAACTGACCTTTCCTGTGATGAGCTCATAACTAATTTCTTTCAAAAACTCACTTGTGGTAAGCATGCTTTCTGCCAGAGCTCGGGACTGACGCTGACCTGAAGGACAAGAGAGTAGGGTGATGACTCATGACTGGAGCTCATGCCTGCTGCAACATTAACTGATAAACACAGAAATAACAGAAGTCTAAAACTACAGGGACTTGACTAAGAAGGGCATGGCATGGCGAAAGGTCTATCTGAAACATCAATTTGAAGATCGTAATTGAAAAAAATGTATACATGAATATATGTAAAGGCCAGAGAAGTCCATGGAAAATACAACAGTGTGTTTACATGGTTGTTATGCATAGTTATCTTAAAAACAAACTTATGTGGAACTATTTTTAGAATTAAAAATACAAATGATCACACAGCTAGGAAACACAGAAGGGTGGGCAGGGAGTTTGGCCAGTGTACATTTGTGAGTGTGGATGGGATTTGATCTCTTTGTTAGGAAGTAGTGAGAGCCATCCAGTGAAGACAGGAGAAACGACAGACTGTGTGTTGATGGCTGTGAGGGATGGCACCTGACAGAGAGTCAGCACAGAGCACATTTTGTCATTTCTCTATTTTCTTAAGGGTTCCTGGGTGCTGTAGAGTAGGCTCTTCAGTGTGGAGAGTTCCTGGCAAATGGGACTGGTTGGCATAGACACTTGCAAAACTTTTACAATTTAGTGTGTGTGTGTGTGTGTGTGTGTGTGTGTGTGTGTGTGTGATGTGCTACAAATGCATGCAGGATCCTGAAAATCAGAATAGTGTGTTGGATCCCACAGAACTGGAGTTTCAGATAGTTGTGAGCTACCATATGGGTGCTGGGAATTAAACCCAGGTCCTCTGCAAGAGCAGCCAGTGCTTTTAACTTCGGAGCCATCTCTCCAGCCCCAACACATGCAAAACCTTTTAAGGACAGAAGTGACAGGAGATGGGGGAATCTGTTTCAAGAGTTAGCTTTAAAAGAATGTTTACAGAACCAGGTGCTGAGGCACCAGCCACACTGAGGCTTTAACACTTGATCTGAGAAAGACAGGGAAGTTAAAATTGGGAGGAGAAACCCAAGCCACAGCCATTAGCCAGAGAATAATCAGGTGGATGCTGGAAACACCCAATTGCTGCTTTTCAAATACACACAACAGAATGAATGCATTTAACAAGTGACAAGACTGAGCCCAAATCACACTTACCTAATACCACCACACAAAATTCATTCCCTCTGATTTTCGATGCACAAATGGCTACAACATAATCCGGCAGCCTCTGATAGTGTTTGATTTCACTGAGAAGCCTCAGTGTCTCTGAAATGCCCTCTGCCAGAGAGTTTTGGGTCACAATGACATGAACCATGTCTTGAGCCACGCTGGCAGCTAACCTAGCGAGCCACGGGAGTTGTCCTGGTGACACGGGGGCACATGGAGCACCCATCTGCAGGGCCCGTTCTCTCACAGTAAATTCTTGCATAGCTTTCAGTATGATTTGCTCAAATTCTTCCCTGAGAGGTATCTGGTCATGACCTATATCAAGGAGAATTACAACTAGAATTTAGACGATCAGAGAAGAGAGAAAACACATAGTATCTAGCATCCAAAACTTCCTCTAAACCCACCACACTCCAACCAGTAAGTCCGTGTTTTTTTTTTTTTTTTTTTTTTTTTTTTTTTTTTTTTTTTTCACAGTTGTCCCAAGTCACAGCTCATACTAACCACCTACAAATGGGAAATTCCCTCTTCATTTCTCTCTGGCCTCAATTTGTAAACCTCAGGCTCTGTTCTCCTATGCTCCAGGGATGCTCTCTTTCAAGGAGGATATAAGGTGCAAGACCAATTCTGTTGCACGTCCTGAGAGGCAATCACTCCCAACCTCAGCATGAGATTCTGCTAATGACTAATAAAATGAGCCAACACACTGGTGTATAATCAATTTTAGGTTCCATTCATTTTTCATTTTATGCAGATACTTGAAAAATACTTTAATATGTTGTCTTCACCTAATTTTGACATTATCCACAGGAAAATTAATTATTTTTTCCCAACCTACATAATACATGGCCTCCAACTTTCCCCTCTCTTCTGGATTGCTGAATATGACATCTGGCCTCTTCCCCTTGACATAGTTGAGCTAAGCTTTCACTGATGACCTGTGACCCTGAAATTAAAGGGATTTTGTTTCTTATTGTCCTTAGAAACTTAACCAGTCTTCAGAACAAAATCAGTAGGCACCCAAGTGGTACAAAGTAACTAATATTTCTTCCCTTAGTTTAAGTTAAAACCCAGGGGACTTGTTCTGCCTGTTTTTCCCCTGTGTGCATCTGAGATTCCAGACTCAAGGGCTCCGTCAGCTGGAGCAGACCCTTCAGTATCTATGATCTGAGGCTAAGTCCTGGCTTTAACCCCAGGCTACAGCACAGAGGTAAGGGTGGGGACCTCTGTCTGGAAGGCAACTCCAACAGTCAGAAACTATCCTCCCTCTGATGGCAGTAAGAAAATCAGGGGTTTAATTATTATTTTTAAAAGACAAGTGGGATTATACAACATATAACATTAAAAATAGAACACATTCCAACAAATAAGTAATTTATATTGGAGAAGCCAGGGCTGGTTGAGGGCCAGGGAGAATGAAAACCTCATAGACAGGTGCTGGTTTTCTGTACATAGAAACAACAAGAAAGCACATTTGCTACATTAATTTTGTTTCTGGATCTAGAGGGATTATAGCCTGGCACTTGCTATAGCTTGGCACCTGATTTGGGTTTGGTCCCCAGGACTCTACTTGCCCAGCCTGAAACATGGGTTTCTCATGTCCTTCCCACCCCTACTCCTTGCTGGGTAGTAGTGAATGGTGGGATGTTAGGCTTTGCTTTTAAATCAGTTGGGAGTCACTGGACCTCTGATCTTCACCCGGTTTCAAAAAATTAGCATCATGGTTTGTATTTACCACATTCATACTGTATAGTGAATGCAAACTGGCTGAATTTGTACTTTGAAATGAAGGGAAAGTGGTCATTTTTTTATATAAGTTTCTTCTTCTGGAGCACATGATAAATGAAAAGCAGGAGGCCCTATCTCCATTTTCTAGTGTCTTCTATTGAAAACCTGAAAGGTTCAGTGGCCCAGTTTATAATTGTGAGAGACCTAGGGCAAACCAGGAGCCAGCAACACATTCTCTTGGGACATGTAATGAATCCATGCAAAGGCACTTGGGGAAAATAAAGTGGTATAGCATGTTCCCAGAATTCTTTGTAATCTTGAAACTCTTTTGTAAAATTTTGATTGAATCACTGTTAAGAAACAAAGGTGGGGGGCATGAACTCAAGTTAGAGCTACATGTGATCCCCACTTCTCCATCACTACCACATTCAGTCCTGACTGGATTCTAGGATTCTTTTCTCTACTTCTTCCAAGCTCTGTGACAGTAATTTTCCCTCTGAGAACTATCTCCTGGAGCATCAGCTCTGATGGCTTTTCAGATGGAGCCACCACAATAGGAAGGAACAGGTTTCCAGCAGGCCTGGAGCCCACCTGGATTCAATGGCTCCATTATCTACTTCAAAAGGTTTCCAGCTTGTGAAATAACAGAAAAAACATTTTAAGTGACTGCCATTCAACGGCCCTTTCTTTCTGAAGAATCTTGCTTTTCTTTTTCCCTGTCAGTGCTCAGAGAAAGAAGTATTAAAGCTGTCATTTTAAAAGTTTGTGTAACTTTTTAAAAATGTCTATAATCTATGCCTATTCTTGTTGCTTCTCAAACTTAGAGAGACAGAACAATTTTTTTTTCTTTCATGAATACCAGAACAACTTGTTGGGGGACAGAGAAGTCCCAACACACAAACCTAGGTGAAAAAAAGGAAGAAAGGAAGGAAGAAGGGAGGGAGGGGAGAGAGAGGGAGGGATGGGTGAGCTATTTATACTATATACCAACAGACCTAATGACTGGAAGTAAAATTCTACAGATAATTGACCCTGAAGAGCAAAAAAAGAATCTTGTTTAATTAAATCAGAAACCTCTAAGTTAAGAGGTTTTTAATAGCTTGAAAGAAGATATTTTATTTTTTCCATTTAGTTAACTAGGACCCTGGTTTTCTTGGAAGGTTATTAAGGCTGAAAAGAAAAGACAGAACGAACGACTGGCCTGTTTGCGATGGTTTGGAGAGCATCTGGGTGTGCTTTCAGGCCCTGGAAGTCAGTCCAAAGTGTGGAGATTTAAGTTTATGACATCAAAGGATCGGACGAGTTGATTTTATAACAAGTACAGTTTAAGTTACAGATTTATTATGAAAGTGGGTTCCATGCAAAATGTGGCTAAAAAGTCCCTGTCAGGGCTGAGCCCACATTGGGTGGAGACAGTATCAAGGAGTCTCCTGGGAAATTAAATATCCTTGCCAGTGTTGCCACACAACACTGGAAAGGCTATGTCTGGTTTGCTGAAACTTTTGCTTTTAAAATACTATCTCAGTATTTTTGTGGTTTCTTAACACCATAGAACTTTGTAACATAACAAACAAACAAACAAACAAACAAACAAAACCAAAGACCCTTATGGCCAGGATAGGCTCCAAAGCTACACAGAGAAACCCTGTCTCAAAAAACCAAAAGAAAAAAGAAAAAAAAAACAAACCCTTATGAGTACAAACAAAAATTTTTATATGAAAATTTACACCTCAAACCTTTTCCTAAACAAATCAATGGTGTGAATCTCAGAGTGAAGGTGTAATTAGGCTTTATATTTGATGGCTCACTGTGGTTTGCAAAATAAAGGACATTTCAATGTAAATGTTGCTGAGCCACCACACTGTTGTCAGGACACCTGCATGTACTCACTGTAGGTTCAGAGGAAGTGAAGGGTTCATGACCTTTGCCTCCCTCTTTCCCTAAGGCCTTCCTTCCCACAAGGGCTAGGGAGCGTCATGAGACTGGACACTAGAGGGAGCAATCTGCCTCTTTTATGACAAGCGTGGAGAAAAGGGAAAAAAAGCAAAGCTATAGAGAGGAAAGCAAAAAGTCTGAAGACTGGGTAGAAGGAGAAACTTGGAAAGAACATATGAGCCAGGCAGGCAGACGAATTGAAAAATGACACAACACATTCCAAACAAACAAACAAACAAACAAACAAACAAACACAATTTAAAAGGTTCCTAGCCCATGACTCTGGAGAGCAACTTACCTAACCGCACAAGATACTGTACAGTCAGAAGGATCATGTTTTCCACACTCAGGAGTTGGGTGCTCGCCAACCCTAATTGCTCTAGCTCTTTGTTTTCCAACTGTGGAATCTTGTAGCAATTCACCAGCAAAGGACTCACAACAATGTCACCAACATTTCCATAGAAATAGGGTAAAGTTCCGTAGCCTGTCCCCAAAGAAACAAGTCAGTAAGCACTTCTGAATTCCAGTCATGCACACCAGCTCAGTGACATGCTCAGAAACCCTGTGCCCTGCTAGAATAGGGAATTCACCTGCATGTTACATATTCTATAGAAACTGAGGGGGCACTCCAGTTATATCACGCTTGTCACAGGAGGGATTCTGTGAGCACTATAGTTCTGTCACAGAGGATCGATGTCGTGATAACTAGTTCCAGATCAACTTTCTTTTCAGATGAGAAAACAAATTATGATAACTTTTCAGTTCCCCAGTGTTTTGGAAGGTGGGGGAAGTTAAGCTAAACTCACCGACACACCAATAGTCTATTAACTAATAGCAAATGCTTAGAGAATTCTTACTCGTTTTACTATACTAGTGTTTTGGGTTTTTTTGTTCAGATTTTTATGTGTATGAGTATTTTGCCTGCATATATGTCTGTGCACCATGTGTGTGTCTGGTGTCCAGAGTTCAGAAGAGGGTGTTGGACACTGACTAACTGACTAGCATCCCTGACACTGGAGCTAAGGATGGTTATGAGCCATCACATGGGTGCTAGGAATTGTCCCTGGGTTCTCTGCAAGAGCAGCAAGTGCTCTCAACAACTCACCCATCCCTTTAGCCCCTTATTGGTATTTATGTTAGTTTTTCTGAATGCCAGGGAATGCCCCAGAAATACATTTAAAAGGTACCCTGCTTTGGTGGTGCAGTAAAGAGAACTATCCATCTCTGAGACTTTCTTTTGAGACAGGGCTCCACTAAGTAGCTCTGGATGGACCTCAATATGCAGACCAGGTTGACCTTGAACTCACAGAGACCTCCTATGCTGGGACTAAGGGAATGTGCCACCATACCTGGTCTCTGTGAGACAGAAAGTTTCTAACAGTCACACGTCAAAAGAACAAAGGGCCCCCACATTCCTCATAGTTCTAAGGCTTAGCTACTTTATGCTGATACTAAGACCCTCTGAGCCACATGAATCTAAATCAATGGGACTCCCCCAATACCTCCAGACCCAGGATCAGTGGACAGGGTGATCTGATAAAACTTGAAGTAAAAACACCCAAGTCAACAGAGTCAGGCCACCACGGAGCAGATAATGACTCATGTTAACACATCCTGCCTGCTTTATCATGGAAAGAAACAGGCACTCTTCTTCTGGTCTAGACCTGCCTGCCTACCAGAGCTGGAATCCTAGAATTTAGACCCCTAAACAACCTACTTTCGATGGCAGTTAGCAGCTGGGGAGGGGAGGATTGTCTCTACAAAGATGCTGGCTCACAGAGACCAATGCCCCAGGGGTGCCTGCTTCCCTGGTGAGGCCTGTGGGTTGGCTTAGCTTGTTTCTGGGATTTGGCTTCCTATGACTGGACTGTCTGCTTCCTCAGCCTGTCCACTTTGAGCAGGCTTTGGCACACAGCTTGAATCTCAGGGTCTGAAGGGTTTCTAAGACACTTCCAGACAGAGGTAAACCCTGTCTCCCAAGACGTCTTGAAGCTCTGCCAGCTCTCCTATTCCAGTGTGTCATAATGTTATCTTAGTGTGTGGTAACTGTTGTTTCCTGACTCCCTCACTTGGAGAGATTCTTGAGGGGCAGAGTGTTATTCTCAGTTTCAAACCATGTGCTTAATACTGCATGAAGGGACTGGCAATGGGAGGTTGATACAATCAATAAAGACAAATACATAGACTCATGAGTGTGTGAATGAACCCACAGACCAGACCTTACCTATCAGGATCACTGGTCTAACTCCTGAGTTACTCAGCAGGTTTTCAGGAACAATCACTGTTTCCCCTGCAGGGACAGGCCGAGGCTGGAGAATTCCAGTTAAGGGGGTCTGTGGAACTGGGGCAGATAAGAGGGGCTCTGGGAAGAAAAAAGTTGTTTGACAAGAAAGATTAGGCATGGGCTAACTGGGAAACTTCAGAAGCCAATGCAGTTTTAATACTTTAGAAGCTTTAGAAGTCTGATAGTTTACTGTGTGTGGTTTCTTTTTCATTAACATACTCATTGCAGAAAACTAAAAGAAAAACAGAAGTAAAACAACAAATCAACCACAATCATTCCACTGTGGATAATGACCACTGAGGATCTGGTGGCATCTTCTAAGCAATCTTTTGGATTTAGCTTTGTATTTCATATTTACCATGCCCTAGTGACCAAAACGTGGTTTTCTATTATATAAAGCTGAGAACAGAAACACCATTAATCATTTCTACCTGGAAGCAACAGTGATAACATATAGTCATAGTTCCTTGCATATATGAGATTTCTATTGGTCTTTAAAACTACCTAAGCAAATTAAAAAATGTAAAGACCCCTACATAGTTCTTGGGGTTGGAACACTTGTTACTGTCTACCAAGTAGAACAGGTAGACAAATGTTTGAACACTTAGCTGTGGATACCTTTGGACACAGTCTGGATAGCATGAAGGAGAGCCAGGTAACTCTTCATAGTGTAGTTGCAGACTAAACCATGAAAGCCAAAGTAACCAAGATGTGTCATACAGAGAACAAATTTAGAAGGTCGACTCTAACACCACTGCTGACAAAGCAAGTCTGTATGTGCCCTGTGCTGGTTTAGTTGTTAGCATCAGGCCCTATGCAACAAATAACTTATCAACTTCATGGTTAAAACTAAGATCAGTTGTAATAGTACATGAACTTACATGGAAGGACTACATTATGGAGACAAAATATTAACTACTATCAATACCCTTATATAATACTGCTAATCACAATGATTGATTGAGGGCATTTATCTTCAAAGGATGAGGGCAGGAGCAGAACTTATCTCTGCTAATTAAAGAAAAACTTTTAAATACATCTTCAGTTAAAATCTTACCAGTTCTTGAAAGAGGACGGACTGTGGGAACAGGCATAACTAGAGAAGGCTGGGAGACAGGTGACCCAGGATACCATCCCCGGTGTCGTTTCTTAGGTGGGCCAGAAATGAACATGTTAGCTGAAAACAAAAAGGGAAAGCAGCTTTGTCCTCAGCAGTGGGAAGAGAGAACGAATACCAAGGGATCACATGGCCTTTCCTTTGTCCGAGTCACTGTCCTATGGGCAATGATAGAGCTAGGAAAAGTCACACTCACAATCCAACACCACACTAACAATTGTAACCACATGCTGTTTTACACTTTACAGTTTTAAACAGATTATTTGATTTGATTCTATTGACATCTCTGTTAAGTTGTGGGACAAATCTTGGTAAATGGAGAAAAAGTATCTCATGTCATGCAAATCTTTTCAGACAGAGTTCTGTACTTCAGTAAGTAAAAGACAGATGTGAGTTTCAAGGTTCTTCACTATAATTTTGATTAAACACTTATTTCCCAGTTAGGCTTACCCATGTAGAATCTCCAAGACATTTAACAGTTACTGTTCACATCAATCATAAAATTTCAAAATGTTGTGTTTTAAGCAAAGGGAAGGCTCTACAGTGTATGTTCAGATAATTAATTGTTCAAAAATCTGTAGCACCAGGCCAAAGGGATGGTTCAGTTGGTGAAGTGTTACACAAACGTGAGGGCCTGAGGACAATCTTCAGAATCCATGTAAAAAGGCCAGGCACAGAGGCCTTTAAAATCAATGCCGTGCAGACAACAGGATCCTGGGATCACTGACCAGCCAGTCTATTCCATCTGTGGACTCTGGGTTCAGTGAGAGACCCTGTCTCAAAGGATTATGTGGAGAGCTATAGGGGAAGACAACTAATGTGGACTTTTGGCTCCTCACATGTGTACATATGCACATAGCTCCTTGTTCTCTCTCTCTCTCTCTCTCTCTCTCTCTCTCTCTCTCTCCTGTTTCTGTCTCTTTCTCTCTCCTCCCTCTTTCTCCTCTGTCTGTCTGTCTGTCTGTCTGTCTCTCTCTCTCTCTCTCTCTCACACACACACACACACACACACACACACACACACTGTACCTTGGTCTATGGATGTGTAGCTAGGTCTTGGTGACAAAGAGTAGTTCCCGGGGCGGGATGGAGTGGACATGGATGAGCCACTCTTCCCTCCATGGCTACTGGTCCCATTTGCTGCTTCTGTAGAACAGAGGTTTGGAGGACACTGTTAGTGAAGCAGCAGGCTTCTGGTAAACCTCACACTTGAGCGTTCAGGGAAACGTCAGACAGGACTCAGCCCAGTTGCATAAAACCAGCTATAACTATCAGAGCAATTACCTTCATTAAACTTAACTGTCAGGCATGTCAATGACTAGAATACATTAAAAAAGTAGATGTACCCAGGAATAATTTCCTGGGACCCTAAGAAATCTAGATTTAGTGCACACTCATAACTACTGAGCTGTCTCTTCACTGAGCCTTCTCTCCAGCCATTTTAGGTTTCCTTTAATGTACAGTAATTTCTTTTCTTTTAAAAAATATTTCTTGTGGGGCTGGAGAGATGGCTCAGAGGTTAAGAGCACCGACTGCTCTTCCAGAGGTCCTAAGTTCAATTCCCAGCAACCACATGGTGGCTCACAACCATCCATTATGAGATCTGGTGCCCTCTTCTGATGTGCAGATAAAAATGGAAGCAGAATGTTGTATACATAATAAATAAAATATTAAAAAAAATTTCTTGTGATTATTTTTCTTTTGAAAAATCTTGAAGAATTTGCTGGTTCAATGTTCCTATTATCATTGAACATTTCTGTGTCCACTGTATTTCCAATAAATTAATTGCTAGCAGCCTAGTCAAATTCATATTTTTAATTTTTTTTTTGCAAAAGAATCTCAAAGACAGCTGTAAATATCCACCAGGGAGCAAAGAGTGGACAGTTTTCTCTCTCCTAAGGATATTAGGAATGATTAGGAGGGATTCAAAATTTGTTAGCCTCTTTTTCTTTTTAAAATTTCATTTTTAGGGTCTATGTGCAGTGGCACTCGCCTTTAATCCCAGCACTCAGAAGGCAAAGACAGTTGACTCTCTGTGAGTTTGAGGCCAGCCTGATCTACAAATCAAGTTCTAGGACAACCAGGACTGTTACACAATTATGTGTGTGCATGTGTGTTTACATGTGGGTTTGTGCATATGCATGTGGTAGCCACAAAGTAGAAGAAGCCATCAGATTTCCTGGTCCTGGAGTTACAGGAAGTTGTGAGCTGACTGAGGTAGGTACTGGGAACTCCCATCCTTTGCCAGAAGCAGTATGCATTTTTTGTTTGTTTGTTTTTTGAGACATGGTTTCTCTGTGTAGTCCTGATTTTCTTGAAACTAGCTCTGTAGACCAGACAGGCCTAGAAAGCACAGAGATCTGCCAGCCTCTGCCACCCGAGTGCTGGGATTAAAGATTTGTGCCACCATTGCCTGGCTAGCAGTCATTCTTAATTACTGAGCATAATTCTTGCATTATGAAGTCAACTTTAGTAACTTCTTTGATTACTTATCTATTATTTCATTATTTTTCATCATTGTGAAAACTTTAGTTTGTTCATATTTAAAATCTAACTAGGAGATAAATAGCTGGGCTAGAGTAAAAAACAAGATGGATTTTATAAACTGTGATGTCTAACTTTTTGATCATGTCCCAGAACGATAGGCTCTCTGTGTTACCATTTCTTTTCCTTAAGCACTGAAATTTTCTAGGATTCCACCCTTCATCATAGTCTGCGACATCATGTATCTTTCATGGCTAATATTAACCTTGATGGTTTTACTGACATGTTGGTAGCTCCCCTCTATCCATCCATCAATAAATGAGTGATGGACAGCTCCACTTATTGGGACTACACATGTCCATGTGCTCGCCTCCCGGAGAGTCTGTTCCCTTTTCCACAGTCCCTGTCTCAGATGATGGCACCATTAGCCCAGAAAGATTGATGTCAACTGAGGCACTTTCTCCTTCAGGCACATGTTAATCTGCCAGGTCCATGTGATTTCATTCCCTGAGCAGCTCTCCATTTTGTCTTACCTTCTCCAATCTCTTATCACTCTGGCTAAAGACCTCAGCACCTCTCACTTAAACTAATGAAATGACCTCAGAGAAGTATTTCTACCTCTTGTTCTTACATGTTACTTCCGAGAACATCTGGTTCAAATTCAAACCAGAATAGGCCAGTTCTCTGCTCCACAAATTTATGGTAAAATCCATGTTTCTCAGCCTGCCTTCCTGTGACTGCCTCCTGCCACTTTGAGTTGTACATTTTATGTTTCAAGTCCAAAATGTAAGAAAGTTCTTACACATCTTATAATTTTCTTTTTTTTCCTTCTCGAAGGACCCTTTCTCCTGTTTGTTTTTTATTTGTTCATTTGTTTTTCAAGGCAGTGTTTCTCTGTATAGCCCTAACTGTCCTGGAACTCACTCTGTATGTCAGGCTGGCCTTGAACTCATAGAGATCCATCTGCCTCTGCCTCCTGAGTGCTGGGATTAGAGGTGTGTGCCACCACGCCAGCTCTCAGATTCTTGTTGTCACTCATTTCTGCTAGTACTGGAATATGAACTATCTTCCCCCATCCCTTTGGAAAGTACCTTTTTCCTCATTCTTAAGACCAATCTCCTCCCAGTTATTCCTGAAATGCTGGCTACAGCACATTGAAAAGATCTTGTAAACCTGTCACCTTTACTGGATTTGAGACATCTGGGGTCAAGCATTGTTTGTTTTTATAACCTCAGGTGCTAGTCACAGCAGGAGCACAAGAAACATTTGTTGAGCAGAGTCAAACTCTAGTCTTCTGTGCACTAAATGTCATTTTGACTTCTCTGCTTGGATCGCAGACAGAGGCAAGCTTTGTCCAATATTGCATTATTTTAGTCAGTTTCATGGCCTTCTTAGACTGGCAGGTAGAAGGGGAGTCTGTTTTCAAACACTAATTTGTCAATAAATTTCACACAAGTCATTTGGTATATTAAAAAAAAAAAGGAAGGAAGGAAGGAAAACATCACCTGAAACAAAAGTCTTTCCTACAACCTGCAAAGATAAAGGCAGTGGTTTCACAACATTCTTATTCCAGGTCAGGTCCTGAGCGCCACTTAAATTGATTGAAGAATTAGCTGGACTGAGAGTTGGCGAATCTTGAAAATGAGAGAGGTTGTTTAAATTAGAAGCATTATATATGCAGGAAGAAAGTTAAAATGGCAGGGGTGAGCTGAGGAAAAGCAGGAAGGAGGATTTAGCTTCTTTCTGGAACTATTCAGATACTTTAGAAAAGTCAATGTGTATGTATTCAGGCTTAATTAGTTTTTATTAAACAAACATGCACTAGGAGTTAGGTGTTAGGAGCTACTGTAAGTGCTTCAAATATATTAATTCACTTGATCCATGTAACACTTTAGGAATTTACGTCATGGTAGTTGGTCAAACTCAGATGACCTGTCGATGGGGTATCTATGCTCCATATCCAAATTATGTCCACAGTTCCTTCAGAGATGAGCTATATCTATCTGTGTACAGATAAATCTCTTGTGTTTGTACATGCTTGTGCTTATATGCAGTCGTATGTGTATGAATACATATGTGCAGAAGTATGTGTGCACACGTGTGGACATCAGAAGTCATGTCAGGCATCTACCTCAGCTGCTTTCCACTCTAATTTTTGAGACAGGGCTTCACTGCATCTGGAGCTAGTTAGTAAGTTTCAGGGATCCTCCTGTCTATCATTTCCCAATACTGGATTTACAAGTGTTGTGATGCTTGCCAATAATACAAGCATGTGGGAGGATGACAAGCAAGAGTTACAAGTTCAAGGCCAGCCTGGGGTACAGGGTAACTAAAAAAAAAATGGTGGGCTTTCCTTCTGCCTGGCTTTCATACTACTAGAGGTGCTAAGGGGCTGCTGAGGGAGGGCAATAGCAGCATGAATGCTATAGGGATAGCCTTCTGCTTTCTGAGTGGATTTAAGGCCCACTCCATAGGAAGCAATTGCGTGGTACTGCAAATCTGACAAAGATCCATGGCTAGGGAGCTCACAGACCCTAATTGTGAACCTATTATTATTATTTTGGTAAATGGAGATAGAAACAAACTGCCCTCTACATTTGTATCTCCCTGCTCATAGATCAGTCCTTATCAGAGAACCCTCTTTGTGCAGTGGATGATGGTTGACGAATAAACTCACAACTGGTCAAAGCAGAGACTCAGTTGGTCAAAATGGGACAGTTATTCCCCATGTCTCTCCTTGAGGCCCAGGGAAGATCATGGAAGAAGGGATGGAAAGACAATAGTGCCAGAGGCTGGGGGGGGGCGCGGT